GGCTGTGCAAATCTAAGGTCTGAATGGACAAAAATAATATTCATTTGATAGGTAAAACAGTTCTCATATATGTAGTTAATTGTTTACCTCTTCATAACTTGTTCTGAACAGATGGTTGTTGTTTTTTAACACATTTCGTAAAATTGGTTAGTTGCACTAAACAGATTTTCATATTTTGAGGTGGATTAATATCACTGAAGCCACAACATCCATAACTCAAATACACAATTTACTCAGTGGAGTAAAAAAGTTACATAGTGCCCATGGTTAGTAAGAGGAGGAATGGTGCCCCATTGTTACTGCAGTGGAGGGAATAGTGTCACGTTGGAGTCAGTGGGATAAATAGAGCCCCACTGTTGGTGTCAGTGGGAGAAATAGAGTTCCATTGTTGCTGTCAGTGCGAGGAATAGGGCCCCATTGTTGGTGTCAGTGAGAAAAATAGTGCCCTATCACAGGGAGGAACAGTGCCCCATTGCTGGTGTCAGAGGGAGCAATAGCACACATTGTTGGTGTCAGTGGGAGGAATAGCACCCAATCATTGGTATCCGTGGAAGAAAGAATGCCCCATCATTGGTGTCAGTGGCTGGAGCAATGGCGATGGGAGAAATAGTGCCTCATATCAGTGGGAGGAATAGTGCCCCAAGGGCCATGTAAAGATTAGAAGAGAGCTCCATCTGGCCCATGGGCCATAATTTGGAGACCACTGCATTTGTGGAAACACCCCAATTTCTGGAATGCTGCCCATTACAGTAATGAGTCAACAGTGAAGCTTTGAAATTGGAAATGAGTAGGGTCAGCCATCCAACCCATTGATCAAGGCAGTAATTGTATTTCAAAGAAGCTGGGTATTCCAGGCACGTAGGATAGGTATACTTAGAAAGAATCTAATGTGCAGGCACCTGAGAGGTCTGAATTGGGTACCTATTTGTTCAATTTAATAGGATTGTAGCGTTTATCATTGAAGGAGTAATGGGTCTCCTGTTCCTGTGCGCAGGATTCTGCAAATAGCACCATGCACTCTAACTCACTTGGCTGATAGGGGAATATTTATTGCAGATGTATATGCAATACCCCAATAGCAAAAGAAAAGAAACAAGAGCAATGATACAGAAAATAATTAAACTATAGCAAGTATTATATTATAAATAGGTGAACAGTGGAAAGAAATATACTGTAAAAACAAGCAATTGGTGTAGAGCAACTGATCCTAAAACATATATTGGGGCAATCATAACTAAGGAGAATAATGCCTAACAGTTCAGAAGTCAGTACTATATTCTGCTGGCCAGCTTGTTGAGGCCCAACTGTTATGTCAGAGGACTCAGAATAAGGTGTCTTTAAGCACTTATGATGACACTGACTCAGGTCCCTTTAAGCACTGATAATTCCTGGCTCTATACTCACAAGCAACATGGTCGCTCTTTTGCCAGACTGTAATGTGGATTTGGCAGGTGGCCTCTCACCAACCTCATCTGTTTACTGGTGGTCCCCCTCTGTATACTGGGTGAAACACAGCTGGTAAGTGTCTGCAGTGTTCATTCCCGTTGATCAGGCAGCACGCTCCACCAACATCCGTGGCTCTCCGCATTGTCTTCATTATCTTCAGATGTCAGTCTCTGTCAGGGGCGGACTGACCATTGGGGCATTTGGGCTCTGCCCGAGGGCCCAGGGTCAGTAGGGGGCCCCATGAGATGCCCCTAGTACCTTTCATAGGCTTTTTTGGGTGTGGTTTGAGTGTGGGTGAGGACACAAGGGCCCCATGATCCCCTATTGCCCGGGGGCCCCATGAGTTGTCAGTCCGCCCCTGGTCTCTGTGCCTCTTTGTTTCAGGTACAGCGGTAATCAATCTTCCAGCAGCTAAATGTGTACACAGTCCTCTCAGGAACAGCCTCCACACTTCTTCTCCTCAGCCTGGGTAAACAGCAGGGAACCACCTCTCCCCTTTCCCTAGTGTCTTGTAGGATTTTTGGTCTCCTCTTTCCAGGTCACCAAGCTAGCTCGGTCTGTCTAAACTATACCTCCCACAATTCTGTGTTCCTATTGGGTAGAGGGCAGGCCCAACTCTGGCTGAACACAATTACCCTTGATGATGCGCAATAGAGCAAAACACATCGGGTGGAGTTTCTGAGTGCTCACATCACACCGCCACATGGAGTCTATGTGGCAGCCATCTTTGCAAGTGCTGGCTGATGCTTCTTTGATTTTCAATGTTCTACATGGATTTTGTCTGCCATTTTTAATAAATACTGCACCATGAAAGATTCATCTGGCTCTGGTCTGTGAGCATTCACTTTATACAGTTGCGTTGCTGCTTACCTTCCTTCTGCAGATGGAGGTGTCATACGCCTAGTAACTTCTACAGCCATTGGGGAGCCTTCCTAAAAGGACCATGACCATGACTAGAGTAGAGTACGGTCTGGGATGTGATAAAGTGCAGTAGTTGCTACCATTTATGCAACCAGTTTGTTTGGTGAATGTGAACTGTGATGGTGTTACATGGTGGAGATCACAAAGTCATGCGTTCACCCACTTATTATTGGTGGAAAGTTGATTCACTTTATTATTATTATACAGAATTTATATAGCGCCAACAGTTTTCTGAGCGCTTTACAATATAATGGGAGACAATACAGCAACAATACAGTTCAATACAAGAGGGATAGAAGGGCCCTGCTCCTCAGAGCTTACAATCTAGGAGGTTTTATGAACTTGATGAACTTTAGTTGTTTACACTTATTTTTACACAAAAAAATTGCATTTATGATATTGCACTAGATTTTTAAAGTAGAATTCTATCACTGATCATTTATATATACAGTTTCATCATTTTATTTACCGATTTAAATTTTATAATTTGGTATGTTAGAGGCACTGAACTATATTTATTTTATTTACTGGCTGTACGGATCTATACAAGTCCCCTCCTATAGCTGTGCCATTGTAAAAGTCTCCTCTGCTGCCTGACTGTAATTCAGAGCCTGTGATGAGATATGTGTGGATATTTTTCTGTGCATGTCACATAATGGGGTTTATTTACTAAAGCTGGAGAGTGCAAAATCAGGCTCACTTTTGTTTTGAGAAGACCAACCAGCTTCCAGGTTTTATTGCCAAAGCTTAAATGAACAAGCTGAGGTTAGAAGCTGATTGGTTTCTATGAAGAAATTAGCTTGATTTTACATTCTCCAGCTTTAGTAAATAAACCTAATTTGGAAGCCAAAACTTGTTTTTGTACGTTAAACATTGGGGATTGTCCAAAAAATCTTAATTGATACTTTAAGTTATCTTTCACTTTAAAGATCTGTAGCTCCACAGTTAAGAGGTACCTGCTATAATACATTTGTTACAGTACGTCATGTTAGGTGCTAAGAACCTGGTACTAGTGGCAGTGGTGTTTTTTGGTTTTGTGCTGCCCTAGGCAAGACTAAAATCGGGCACCCCCCTGCATCTAAATTTTTCCCACCCCTTCTTATGTAAGACCCACCCCTTCATCTGTAAACTCAACCCCTTCCTTCTTAGGCTCCACCTCTTGCTATTAGAGATCCGCCTACTGACAACAACGGTGGGGCACTATTCCTCCCACTGACAACTGACAACAACAGTGGGGCACTATTCCTCCCACACTGACACCAAAGATGGGGCACTATTCCTCCAACTGACACCAATGCCAAAGGAGGAGGAATAGTGCCCCATCATTGGTGACAGTGAGAGGAATAGTGCTCCATCATTAGTGTCAGTGGGAGGAATAGTGCCCCATCATTGGTGTCAGTGGGAGGAATAGTGCCCCCATCATTGGTGTCAGTGGGAGGAATAGTTCCCCATCATTGGTGTCTGTGGAAGGAAAAGTGCCCACTCATTGGTGTCAGTGGAAGGAATAGTGCTTCATCATTGGTGTCAGGAATGGGTCAGGGGAGGATAGTGCCCCATCATCAGTGGGAGGAATTGGTTTCAGTGGGAGGAAAAGCGCCCCCTTATTGTGACACCAATGAAGGGGCACTATTCCTCCCATACTGACACTAATGATGGAGCACTTTTACTCCCACTGACACCAAAGATACTTACTTTGCTGACCCCTGCTCCAGCTCGGGCTCCCTCCCTCTCCCATCCACAGCCAGCATACCTGGTTGCAGCAGCACCATCTGCTCTGCCCAGATCCTGGCCACACTTACCTTAACGATCAGCTGTCTTCCTTCTCCGGCCGCTCTCCTCCTCTTCACCAGCTTCAACTGGTCCCTCACTCGATCTTCTTCGATCTTCGTGCTGCCACTTGGCTCCTCCTCTCCAAGCTCCACCAGTGATTGGCAGCCTGAGTGCCTTTCCTAAGCTACAGATCCGGCGGCCAAGGCAGAGCTTGCAGAGGGAGGGACAGGCTGCCATAGGCTACCCAGTGATCCTGGGGGCCGGGACCTGGTGACTGACATATTGATTAACAGCTGAGACCGTGAATGGTGGTGCAGGCAAGGTGCACGCATGGCTCGTACGTGCCCCCTACTAGGAACTGCAAAACCATATATATATATATATATATATATATGTGATTTTGCGCACCCGTACCGCCCTGTAGCAGTATTTCTGCTATAGGGTGGATGGGAAGCGGTTAAAGAATATGATGCCTTCTGTGATCAATATGTGATTCTATCCCCAAAGTGGTTCCTTTATTCCTTGGGGCCTAGTGTATGAAGTCTGCTTATGATAATATTTCTTGTTGCCTTTAGCAAACTGCCTTTTTCATTTATTTTAAAAGCAGAACTGAAATGGCAGCTGATCGGTGTCTGTGGGTAAAAAGAAATGTTTTCTGTAGCACCTTTTATAAATCAGGTCCGTTATAAGCCTGAATAATGAAAATGTATTGTAATTTGGTGTCATTGCAATTATTTGCTCAATAGTTATAAAAAAATTGTCTCAGTACAAACCAGTAAACAAATTACGAATTGTGAATTTTTGAAAAATACTATGCTATTCCTGGATAAGAAATTCTGTGTGTATTTTCACTCCCAAGATATTGTGAACTCAATAAATAGTGAGGTCTATGAATTTACGCAGTAATTGTGGTACCCTGGACGCAGGGGCGGACTGACCATTTGGAAACATGGGCTCTGCCCAAGGGCCCGGGGTCAGTAGGGGGCACTGCAGGAGGGACATTGCGGGAGTGCAGGAAAAGGTAAGTGAAGAAGAGATCCCGGAGCAGCACTGCATGGTAAGCCTGAGTGTAGCTCGGGGTTACCGCTTGTGGTGCTGAAACTTTACCCTGAGCCAGGGGCGGACTGACCATTTGAACACTCGGGCACTGCCTGAGGGCTTGGGGTCAGTAGGGGGCTCCATGAGATGCCCCTGGTACCTTTTTCACAGGCTTTTTTGAGTTTGGGCAAGGACACAGGGGCCCCATGATCCCCTATTGCCCGGGGGCCCCATGAGTTGTCAGTCCGCCCCTGCCTGGACACAAACAGTTGGCTCTTTCTACATATGGCCACCATAGCATATGCAAGCATAGACTCAAAGAGAAAACATCTGACATATACATGCAAATGAAATAAGCCTTCAATTTGTTAAGATATCCTTTCAGTATGTGTTCAGTTTTTCAGAAAGCCTCTCTTTATCCCTGCTAGCTATACGGTGTGGAAGAAGGAAACAGTCTACCCAAAAACCGATTATTTAGTTTTGGTACATGCTGGAAAACCACCTGACTATATCACTCCGTTATAATAAGGATTCATTTTTTGGAGTATAGTGGAATATAGACAGTAGCTGCCATTGTTTATGTCTCTTGCTGGAAACGGTCCATGGCAAAATGGCACCCGCGCATGCGCGCGCGGTTGTTTTTGCACTTCGCCAAGATGGCACGCGTGTAATGCGCATGCGCCACCTATGATATATATAGACCTGACGCACGGCAGTAATGGTGATCCTTTCTGAAGAAGTGCATTGGCACGAAACACGGCAAAGGACGAGCCAGTACACCGTGACGTCACGCCGTCGGAGCCTCGTGTAGGACCGGAGGCCATCTTGCTTTTGTGGATGGTCAGTCTCTCTCCACTTACTTGCTGCTATTTGTATTTTACCACGTGGAATCGTTAAATTTAATAAATCATTTGCTAACACAATACTGCACTATGGGCTACCTTTTGTCTGGCTCTACGTCGAGCTAAAATTCATTTGCAGAGCCCATTCCGGATGGTTTAGTGGCATTATTCCATTATATCCAGAGAAGGGAGCTTTTCCATTATAACTGGCTGTAAAGCATCCATCCATCCATTAAGGAGGCCTCTGGCTGGATCCAACCTGCTCCCACCAAGGAGACATCTGTAAGGCTGTATACCACCCAGAGGGAGGATAATCCGTAACTGGCATATCTCATCCATTTCATCCTGATAAGGGAACCTCTGGCTTTATTGTTTACATGAGTATTTAAAATACGCATCTGGTGAGTGCGTATTTTTAATACACCTCTGGCACATCACTGAAGTTTGAAGTTATTATCAGACTTTACTCGGCACTTTACCATGAACTGTCACTTTATTGATATCTTAATTTATTACTTTATGAGTTACTATTTGGATTAATATTTTAGCACTGCACCTTTTATTATCTGTCTGTGGAGGTTTGTGTGTATCAGCAGCTAATATTTAAGCGCTCACTGATCTTATTCCACTTTATTTGAACATTTTATACTTACCTGCTCTGTGCAATAGTTTTGCACAGAGCTGCCCCAATCCTGTTCTTTTGGGCTCTTGCTCCTCCTCCCTGCCTAGTGCTCCCAATAACAAGCCTCTTGCTATGGGGGCACTTGAGTATGCTCACTCCTCAGCTGCACTCTGTGTATCCATTCATACAGGGAGTGCGGCTCAGCTCCGTCCTGCCCCCTGCTCTCTCCTCATTGGCTCACTAGCTGTGATTGACAGCAGCAGGAGCCAATGACTCCCACTGCTGTGTGAACCAATGAAGAGAACGAGACCCTGGAGAGCTTCTGCTCTCATGTACATTGCTGAATCAAGATGGGGCTCACGTAAGTATAAGAGGGGCTGGGGGAGTTGTACTCAGACATTTTTTTACTTTAATGCATAGAATAATTTAAGGTAAAAATCATTGAGCCTTTAGAACCACTTTGGGCATTTTTTTTGTGGCAAAACGCTTTTTTGATTTCGCTGGCCCTGTTTTACTTTTTTAAATGCCCCTGCCTCTAAACACTTGTAAACTCATATGTGTGCATGGACACAAAGGCTAATACAGAGGGGTGTTTAGAAGCAGAAAAAAAAAAACATTGAACACCCTTCCCTAAAAGTGTCCTTTTTGACACCTAGCCTGCATGAGGCCTAAATGTTGTGATTACAGTCTGATTGGCACAATTGAGGAACCACCATACAAGCTTTAGTAAATCAGGCCCCATAATGTCAATGTTGACATTGTATAACAATCAGATGAAAAGGCAACTTTACAAAGGTATACATTTTAACCTGTCTGTTTACATTTTTTAAAGTGGTTGTTAATGTATCTATTACATACAATCTTTCTTTTCATGTGAGAAATTTAGAAATATGGTCTGATTTATAAAAGGCAGACTAATTAAAAATAGCTTTGTTGCCAATAGCAACTAATTTTATTTTAGCTTTCATTCTCCAGTCTGTAGTATAAAACCAAAACACGGAATTTATTTGATCACTGACAGCTCCAGATTTCATTTTAATAAATCAGCCCCATGGGATGTTGCCTACATAAGCATTGCTTAGTCCACAGTAAATAACTGAAGAAAGCTTTATCTCATTTCACAAGCAAAATCTGAACTTTTTCTTAGGATACCTCAGCCTCTGTACAAGTTTAAGGAAACATAAGTCGGGAATACTATTTATATGGTTTTGTTCTACTATCCTGCCTGAATATCAAATTTTCCAGAAAGGTGGATTATATCTAAGTATTTCTAACTGCCGGGCCTTTTCTGCTGGGATATGAGAGCACTGAATTTACACCGTACATTAAAATAGTGAGTTGCTGTTAACATGTTTCATTTATTTTCAATGTGTATATAAGATGTCCAGTCATTACGCAGAGTCTCTGCTATCGCAAAAAAAAAAAAAAAAAAGCCCTGAGAGGGTTATAGGTCCTTTCATATTTTGTATTTCTATGTTATGGCAATTAATATTCCAATGGGAAACACAAAGTGCTGTCAGCTCTGCCAAGAATCTGCTTTCTCCTAGTGTTATATATACATTGGTGACACGGGATAATTTGCATAGCCCCAAAAAAAAGAGACAGAAAAAGTCTTTTTCTTCCTTAATTAAAATGTACTGCCGAATATAAATGCAGATCGAGATTGGAGAAGAACAGCATTTCACATGACACGCAGAGAAGAGAGGTGGGGGGTTGGATGGGGGTTAGAAGCAGAGTATAAATAGTAAGACCATCAACTAGGATATAGATAGTTCAATGGCTGTGACTTCTTACAAGGAAGACTACTACATCTATATAGAAATAGAATCTACACATAAAACAAAGAACTGAGCGGCTTTGGTTAAAAAAATATCAGAGAACTGATGGGGTGTTTTTATTGGCATATGTAGTGAAAAGTGACAAAAACAAGCAAATGTTAGGTACGCAGATGCTTACATAAGGTGACTGTATCATTTAAACATCTTAGAATGATTTATATGCGCTAAGGTGATGAACTTTATGTGTATTTTATTGGAGTTGATTGCTCTCCCCCTAGGGCTGTGGTGAGTGATCTACATTCAAACCTACACATAGCTGATGGCACATGTATCAGCTGAGTGTGGATAATTAAGGGAAATTGTGTGTAAAAACACCCCACTGACCTCACTCTTATAGAGGACTACCGCTCAGCTTCCAAATGTACAGTGAAATATAAGTATAAATAGGTCAACCATAATGTAAAACATGTTGCCGATGTTCAGAAATCCTTGCAATCCCAGAGAAAGGAGCATATTTTAAAGACATCAGTTCTAGACACACCCAATGACAGAGATGCTTATGAAGGAGCTAAATTCTAACAGCTAAATACTGTTGTAGCACTACCCTCTTAGGAGTCGCTGAGTTTTGGGTCCCCCTAAAGTTCTGTACAGCCAGACAACACACATTTTTTTTTCACACTTTGCATTCAGAGTCAGTAAACAGTCCTTGAGCTTGGTTTTGTGATTTTATTAAGGGGTAAACAACTTGGATGGGGTCTAGGGGTAAACGGGATGCCCAAAGGAACTGTAAACTTGAGGACAGCTTTTTCTGGCAGATATGTACAAAATGTGAGTAGAACAGAACAGTCTTTCCTTTAAAAAAAAACCTCTTTAGTGTACCTCCTCAGACCCCAGATGAATCCTCCTCTTCACTCAAACTGAAGGTATCCCTGGGCAAGGGCTGAGGATGAAGACTAGTTGGGTATTGCACCTGACAGCCCTCTCCCCTTATCTAGCCCAGGGGGGTGTAGGAGTACTCACTCTGTCTTTCCCTGTTTGCCTGGTGGGTTGGTGGCTACCTTCAGGCTTTATGCTGGGCTGGTTCCTTCCCTGCTTCACAAGCCATCTTCCCAAAGAAACGATGGGACAGAGGAGATCCTCCCTTCTAGAATCCTGCCTGCAAGTGGGTTCCCCTCCCTGGGACCCCCTCCCAGACTCCTCTCAGTCCATCTTCCACCCAACACTGCACACCTCCCCCCAGACTCTGCCACTTTTGAGGATTGCCCTGGTCACCATGCCCAGCCTCCTGCAAGTGGATTTGTCCATCAAACATGCAGATCTGGTCAAACTCCTCCTCCACCCCTTCTCCAGAAATCTCTCAGCTTTCTGGAGAGGTAGGAGGACTCCAGTAGCCCTGACCTGTTAGATCCTCCTAGCCTGTCCTGAGTTAACCTCACTCTCCAGGCTGACTCATCCCCAGGCTGCTACTCAGCCTCTGGCTAAAAACTTTCCAGCTAACCTGGAAGGCATTACACTGATTCTAAGATCGTATTGCTTTCTGTAAAACCTCCTATAAATCAACTTATCCTGGAAACTGAAAGGCCTACACAGCACATCAATTTGTCCATCTCATCTGTCCATCCAGCCCCCAAACCCTCACTAACTTTAGTCTCATAACAGTTATAGATTATGGGATGCAGTTACAGCATATCTAAGCAGGGTTACCAAACTTTTTGCAACTTTTCCCCTTTCCGCTTTTACCCACATGCATCAATTTAAGGTGGTTGTAAACCTCATAAATGAAATACAGACAAAGCATATCCCTCTATAGTGTGTACTTTTCACATTT